CTCTCTCTCTCTCTCTCTCTCTCTCTCCCTTCCTCTCTGAAATCAATTAAAAAAAATTTTTTTAAAGTGAAAAACCCTATGGGCACCACTCTCATGGATGCCTACCCAAGCCAAACATTATCTGGACATGTGACCTGTCAATCACCTACTCAGGGGTCCAACAGCCTGCTGTTCAGTTTTGAACTAGTCCTGCCCTTCCTTCCTTCATCAGCCTTTACGCTGAGAGCTGCCCAAGGTCCTCACCATTTTTTTTAAAAATGAGGCTTCCCAAGACACGCCCAGGTCCTTCCATTTCCACGTGCAGGGCCCAGGCCCTCTGTGCCCCTCCCCCCAAGGCTCCAAATGCCCCACCATGGTCTCCCACACCCTTCACCCTCACCCCCAGCTATTCTCTCTGGTTTACTCTGCCCCGGCCACGTTTTTGTTCAAACACACAAAACTCCCACCAGCCTTTGTGCCTGCTGTTCCCTCTTCCTGGAATGCTCTTCCCCAGATGTAATAGGGCCGTACCCTTGACAATCAGGTGCTTACTGGTTATCTCCTATCTGAAGTGGGCCCTCCATCTTTCTCTATCACCCTATTTAACCGTCTTCAGAGCATCTGTGTGAAAGTGATTATCTGGCTTATTTAGGTATTGACTGCCATCCCCAACTAGAATGTCAGCTTTCTAAGAGTAGGGCCTCATCTTTCCTCCTCACCACGGCATCCTCAGTGCCTAGAATAGTACCCAGCAGATAGTAGTTGCTCAATAAACATTTGCAAGTGAACGAATAGGACATGCAGATAAAGAAAGTCCCAGCAAGAATTCCCTGCCACCTCTTGCTTCAAATCAGGGGCGCAGCTTTCTGTGGGGCTCGCTGTGGGGCCCAGCTGAAATGGGAAAGGAGAAGCTGTCCTTAGAGGGAGATGGCAGGGGCAGGGGCTGCCTCAAGAGTATGCCATGGCTTTGGCCGTCACAGCTGCCTGAGCAAGGGTGGCAGAAGGCAAGGGATCAAGTCTTACCCATGTACAGATGGTCCTCATTGGGGTCATCCAGGACCTGTTGGCACAGCCACATGGAACAGGTGGAGACAGGAGCAGGGAGAGGAAGAGAGAAGAAAGATATGAATGGGGAGGAAGCAGCATCCAACACAACCACGAAGGTCCAAACTCTCAAGGGTCTAAAATACCCAGAAAGGTTTCAAAAGGGAGGGGGCAAATTCCTCCTTGAGAAATGTCTCAGGTTGAATAAGAACCCCACCTGTCTCCTGGGGGACAACTAAATGGGTCCGCAAGGTGAAAATTCAAATTCTGTCCCCCTTCTCCCCAACCCCAGCAGGACATGATGCCTTCCAGCCTGGACAGGCCACAGCACTTTCTCTCCCCTTCTCTCCTGGCCTCTGCTTCCATCTGATCACTATTTCCACCTTTTCAGAAACCGCATGACACATGATATCACAATCCAGTCATCTTCTCTTAAGCCAGACATTAACTACAACAAAAATTTGCAAAAATGTAAAACTATGCCCAGCCCATGTGGCTCAATGGTTGAGTGTCAACCTATGAGCCAGGAGATCATGGTTGGATTCCTGGTCAGGACACATGCCCGGGTTGTGAGCTTGATCCCCAGTAGGGGGTGCACAGGAGGCAGACAATCAATGATTCTCATCATTGATGTTTCTATCTCCATTTCCCTCTCCCTTCCTCTCTGAAATCAATAAAGGTATTTTTTTTTTAAGTAAAATTATGCCTCTCTTCTAATTACTACTCAGTCCTGCGATCAGCTGTCAGAGGTGCCGTGGCTCTCCCTGGAAAATACAGATGTGGCATTTGGGTAATAACAGAGCCAGACCTCCTAGGTGTCTGTCTCCCCCGGCCCCCACCTCACCTCCACCAGCTTCACCACGTTGGGGTGGTCCAGCTTCTTGAGGATGGCAATTTCCTGGTACACCTGCTCAATGGGGCCCCTGGGCTGGATGCAGCCCCCTGGGGCTGGTCGGGTGCCTCGGGGCGGGGGGCGACCTGGAGAAGACACAAACCATCTTAGGGACAGGACTGGAGTGACTGATGCCACCAGGGGCTTCACACAGCCTCCTCCTCGTCTGTTTCTTCTGCTGCTGAAAATCAGCAAGGCTGGAAGCACGGTCCTGGTGCTCAGCCTTCTGTGAAGCCCCTCCTTCCCATCCCAGGCTCCAGAGAGAGTCAGGAGTCCACGGAGGGATGGAGAGGAGAAGGCTGGGGTCTGGCTTGGCAATCTCAACGCGTGAGGGTGAGTCAATCCCTGCTCCTCTCTCTGGGACTCAAACACATGACCCCCTCGCCTCCTTAACTCTTGAAACACCAGAGACAGAAAATGAAGTCAGAAATAGGAAAAGATGTAAGAGCCGATGAGACAAAAAAAAAAGAGATGATGCCACGTGCTCACTTTGGCAGCACATATACTAAAATTGGAACGATACAGAGAAGATGAGCATGGCCCCTGTGCAAGGATGGCATGCAAATTCGTGAAGCGTTCCATATTTTTTTAGGGAAAAAAATAAAAAAAGATGATGCCATCGTTCAGTGGTGACTGACAGTCAAAAGGCCACAATGCTGGAAAGAGGCATGGTTCAAACGCATAATGTTGCACACCCTACGTAAGCCAGCATCGAAGCGTGAGTCACAGAACTAGACCGTGTTTGGAAAAGTGAAAGCAAGGTACAGGTGTCAGAAGTGGGGTGTGAAGGGGAGCTCGAAGGGAAAGGGAGGGAGGGCGCTAACACACTCCCCTTGCAAAACAAGGAGTCAGGAAGCACTGGCTACACCTGTTGGAACAGGAGGGACGTGACTAATGTAGGTAACAAGAGAGGAGCTGCTAAACATTACATTGGCTGGTTGGGGAAGGGAGGTTAGGAAAGGACTTCAGAGGAAGTCAGAGGTAGATGGCAAAAACGGATACATCGGCCCTGGCTGGTGGTTCAGTGGTTAGAGCTTCGGCCTGAGCACCAAAGGGTCTTGGGTTCAATTCCCAGTCAAGGGCATGTACCTGGATTGAAGGTTCTATCCTTGGGCCAGTCAGCGTGTGTGCGGGAGGCAACGAACCAATCTCTCTCTCTCTCTCTCTCTCTCACCTCCCCCCACTCCCTCCCTTCTACTCTCTCTAAAAAAAAACAAACAATAGAAACTATATCCCCAGGTGAGGATTAACAACAACAAAAAAGGATAAATCAAGAAGTAATGGCATAAGATATTATCTGACTTGGAGTTCAGAGGAGCAGGATAAACCAGGGTCCTGTGATAGGATGAGGTTTGTGTTTTCTCTTATCTACGTTCTCTTTGTGGCCCACGCTGACGTTCTGCCCAGCAATGCTGGTGAGGAGCAGCCTAATACACTCACATGCGGCTCTATCATCTGACCACAGGCCGCCATTACCAGCTCCTCAAAGAGCCAGAAGTGGGCTGCCTGAGGGAGGTGGAGGTTACAGCAAGAGCCGCTGTTCTCCACGATACGCCCTCCTGTACTTTTCCGGTAGATCTAGTTCCAATACTTCATGGTACTTAAATTTTTTTAGTTCAACATTTCAAAACCTGTCAATCAATGGCTTTTAGTACATTCGTGAGGTTGTGCAACCATCACCACCATCTAATCCAGAACATTTTCATGCCCCCTTCTCCACCCCCGCAACCCCATACCTATTAGCAGTCTTCCCCGACTCCCCTCACACTCAACCCCAGGAAACCAGCCATCTGCTTTCTCTATGGATGTGCCTATTCTGGACATTTCATAGAAGTAGAATCACACGCCATGTGACCTTTTTTGTGTCTGGCTTCTTTCACTGGGCGTCATGTTTTCAAGGTCATCTGTGTGACCGTGTGAATCGTGCTTATTTCTTTTGACGGCTGAGTAGTATTTCATTGGCTAGACCACCTTTCGTTTACCCGTTCATCTGTTGACAGACATTTGGGTTGTTTCCACTTTCTGGCTATTACAAATAGTGCGTCTACGGACACTCACGTACAGGCTTTGGTAGGAACGTGCGTTTTCATTCTCTTGGGCGGATACCTAGACGTGGAACTGCTGGCTCAGATGGGAACTCCATGTTTAACTTTTTGAGGAAATGACAAACTTTTCTTCTAATGGATTTTTTTGACTTTGTAACCTACATTACGTTAAATACTTTTTATCAATGAAAATGAATTTCAAAAACCTCAGTAGGAGGCCCAGCGCTGTCTTTGGGGTGCCTGCCCAGTGCACCCTCTTGTAGGGGACACCATTCAGTGGGACCGTCTCTGTGTTGCCCCAGCCCCAGCCCCTAAGAGAAAGGCCCCCCCAAACTCACGTGGAAAGCCGGCCTGTCGGATCAGCTTCTTTTTGGATAGCACCTTCATCGCCTGTGGGAGAAAAAACCCCGCGTCCTGATGAAAGCGCAGAGGAGAGCTGCGGGGAGAGCCCCTCCTCGCGTGGGCTTGCCCAAGCTCTTGGCTCCCTGGCTGTTCGGGGACAATGTTGTGACCCGAGGGGGTCAAGCAGCAGCAGGTTCTGTGGAGGGTGGCCTCCCAGGATCCCTCCAGCCCTGAGGGTGCTTGCAGGGCTCCAGGCCAGCTTCCCCAGCTAAAAAGGCACAAGCCGTGGGCTTCACCGCCACTGAACGAGACGTGAGTGAGCTGCGGTGATGGGGCAGGACTGGCTGTTGGACACGTGGGAAAAGTGAGGTTTAGCAGTTATGCCACTTGCTCAAGGTCACACAGTTGGCACACGAGAGAGGCAGGATGTGAACCCACATTGGACTGACTCCAAAGCCTCAGCTACAAGGGCTGTTTGGCTCACTACCTCCTGGTTCTTAAGGCTATGGAGGATGTAGAAATGGCAGCCCAGAGTAAGGATATGAGACGTCTGCTGATTTATTTCATTCATTCATTCATTCATTTATTCATTCATTCTTCCTAAGCCATCCCTTCACCTCCCTATGTCCCCATCTGTAAAACAGAAATACCACTTCCTTCCTAATGCACAAAATGGACATGGCCTAACAATAAAATGACACAACAGCTAAGAAAACCTTCCAGGAAGCTGAGCGCTGAAAAGGAGGTCTTGTCTTAGCCTGTTTGGCTCAGTGGATAGAGCGTTGGACCACAGACTGAAGGCTCCCAGGTTCAATTCCGGTCAAGGGCATGTATCTCCATTGCAGGTTCCATCTCCAGCCCTGGTCAGGGCGCGGGTGGGAGGCAACCAATCGATGTGTCTCTCTCACATTGATGTCTCTCTCGCTCCTCTCTCTAAAAAGTCAATGGAAAAATATCCTCTTGTGCAGATTAACAGAAAATGAATAAATAAATAAGAAAAGGAGGTCTTTGTCTTTGGACAAGGATGGGGGTGGAGAAGGATGTGAATACTCACATAGTAGGTGTTGTCATTTTCATTGTAGGCCAACTTGACCACGCCATAGGAGCCCTGGATAAAGGGAGATGACCATGACACACAATAAAAAATTATGATCTGCCAAATCTTCCCTGCAATTGCATTTTGTTGGATCTATAGTTTTTAGAAAGTTTGAATTAGTTGCCAAAACAGAAAGACTGGGTATAAGAATCTAGATTCCCAGCCTCAGTCAATCTGACCATAGGAAGCCAATAATCATTGCCATATGTTAGTTTGCCACAGACCTCACCACTCCTAGCTGCCATACCTAGGATGCCCTGCTCATTTATATTCGTTCTCTACTGGCATGTGAGCTTTTTAAAAATCTATCTTTATTGTTGAAAGTATTACAGATGTCCCCCTGCTTTCCCCCATTGACCCCTTCTAGTGGCGTGTGAGTTTTTGACCCCTGTAACGATACTGCCCATTGGCTGAAACAAAAGCAAAACAGGTGTGAGAGTACCTCAGGGGAGAATAAAGCAACGCTAATATGGGGATGCTATAACTATCACCGTAATGACAGGGGATTTCTCTGGACACTTTCTGTGCTTTTGCAGAAACACATTAGTATTATGATATAAAAACAAGTAAGACCCTGATTCCAAAACCTGGCCTGCACTCTTGCCTCCAAGGACTCCCACTCCCAGCTCTGATGGCTACCCCCCCCCCCAGTATCTGAGACATCCTGGCTCCTAGGATACTTACCTTTCCAATTTCATCCTTCAGTGTGTACTGGTTCAGCTGAACACAATCCTGGAAAGTAAACAGAACATGCCCTGTAAGTTTGCAACTAGATAAACCTGTCACAAACAGCAAGAAAGAGGGCCGTTGCCCAGCTGGTGTTGCTCAGTGAACTGAACATCGACCCAAGCGCCAAGAGGTCGCTGGTTCGATTCCAGGTCAGGGCATATGCCTGGGTTGTGGGCTCCATCCCCAGTAGGGCAGGAGGCAGCCAATCGATGTTTCTCTCTCATGGGTGGTTCTATCTCTCTCTCCCTCTCCCTTTCTCTCTCTCTAAAATCAATAAAAACATATTTTTTTTTAATTTTAAAGAAAAGAAAGAAAGAGGGCATTCCCAGCCCCCCAGCAGCATCCCCAGCCACCGGCTCCTCTGCAGGGTGGCCAGTGTCCTGACTTCCAACAGCAGCTCTTGTACATTGCAAATACGTAATCAAACAGTTTGGGTTCTCCTAATAGCCATTTTTAAAAGATTGTACCCACTTATAAAAAGTTCACTTTAAATTAATTTAAATTACTTGCTTAAATTAAACAAGTAATCCATGACCACGTTGTCCTATAGAAATGTAAAATGATACAAGAAGTGCCCTTGGGACAAGGTTTCTTAGATAATATATATAAAGCACAGAACATAAAAGGAAACAAATCATAAACTGGACTTCATCAAATTTAAAACTTTTGCTCTTCGAGATACTGTTAAAGAAAATGAACAGCAAGCCACACACTAAAAGAAACTATTTGCAACACATATATCAGACAAAGGACTGGTATCCAGAATATATAAAGAACTCTCACAACTTATTAATAAGAAGACAACCCGATATATTTTTTAAAATAGGTGAAAGAACCCTAGCCAGTTTGGCTCAATGGATAGAGCATGGTCCTGAGTTCGATTCCAGTCAAGAGCACATGCTGGGTTGCAGGCTCGATCCCCAATGTGGGGCGTGCAAGAGGTAGCCGATCAGTGATTCTCTCTCATCATTGATGTTTCTGTATCTCTCTCCCTCTCCCTTCCTCTCTGAAATCAATAAAATATATATTTTTTAAAAATAAAAATAGGCAAAAGATTTGGAAAATATTTCTCCAAAGAAGATACAAATGACTAAGAAGCATTAATCAATGGAGAAATAGAAATTTAAACCACACCCAATAGATTAGTTAAAATCAAGGAGATTGACCAAAGAATTTAGGGCACATAGAACCTTCATACACTGCCGGTGGGAATTTAAAATGGTGCAGCCTCTTTATTTTTTTTAATCCACACCAAGCATATTCTTCAACTGATTTTGAGAGAGAGGCGGGGGGTGAAGGGGGGGGTCGAGAGAGAGAGATCAATGTGAGAGAGACACATTAATTGATTGTCTCCTACACGTGCCCCAGGAATTGAGCCTGCAGCTGAGGTACTAGAATCGAACCTGGGACCCTCCAGTCTGAGGCCTGACACTCTATACACTAAGCCAAACCAGCTAGGGCGGTGCAGCCTCCTTAGAAAAGTTTTGGGGGCCTGGCTGGTATTGCTCAGTGGTTGAGCGATGACCTATGAACCAAGAGGTCACCGGTTCAATTCCCAGTCAGGGCACATGCCAAGGTTGTGGGCTCGATCCCCAGTAGGGGGCGTGCAGGAGGCAGCCGATCAATGATTATCTCTCATCATTGATGTGTCTCTCTCTCTCTTTCTCTCTCTCTCTCTCTCTCTCCCCGCCCCCCTTTCCCTTCCTCTCTGAAATCAATAAAATATATATTAAAAAAAGAGAATTGTTTGGCAATATCTTAACATACATTCACCATATGATCCAGCCATTCTACTCCTAGGCATTTTACCCATGAGAAGTGATAACACAGATCCAGGCAAAGACTTGTGTACAAATGTTAACGACAGCTTTATTTGGAAAAGCCGAAAGCTGGAAGCTGGAAACAACCCAGAGTCCAACAAGCTGGGGCCCATCTGAACAGTGGAGTCCTGTTTAGCAATAACAAGGAAGGAACTACTGGTGTCTGCAACAGCGTGGGCAAACTCAGCATCATTACACTGTGAAAGAAGCTAAGCTAAGAAAGACGACGTGCTTCAACAATTCCACTTGCAGAAAATCCTAGAACTTGCAAATTAATCTGTGATGATAAAAACCAGGTCAGTAGGCCCTAGCCAGTTGGGCTCAGTAGATAGAGCGTCGGCCTGTGGACTGAAGGGTCCTTGGTTCGATTCCAGTCAAGGGCACATGCCCTGGTTGCGGACTCGACCCCCCAGTGCGGGGCATGTAGGAGGCAGCCAATCAATGACTCTCTCATCATTGATGTTTCTGTCTCTCTCCCTCTCCCTTCCTCTCTGAAATCAATAAAAATATATTTTAAAATAAACAAAAACACCAGGTCAGCGGTTATGTGGGAAAGTGAAGTGGGGGGAGGGACGCATTGCTGGCGGTGCTGGCAAAGCCTGTGATCTTGATTGGGGTGCTGGACCTCAAAATATAGTTAAATATCAGCCCCTTTATAAAAGCCATTCCTGATTTCCAGGCTTCTCCCAATTAAATTCCTTCCTTCCTTCCTTCAACGAACATTTTCAAGCTCCTACTACGTGCCAGGCACTGTGTGAGGCGAGCGCTGGGCACACAATGGGGAAGAAGACGGTCCCTACGGAGCTTACATTCTAGCTGGGAGGAGACAGGCCATAAGCAACTAAACAAACACAAGACATAACAGTGATGAGTCAACAGGGCAAAAGGACAGGCCGCTTAGAGAGGGCAGTCCCAGAGGCCTTTCAGAGGTGACATTTGAGTAGAGGCTTGGATGTCAGATGGAGGTGACCTTGCAAAGACGGGAGAAGTTCCAAGCAGAGGAGGCGGCAAAGCTGTGGGCCTAAGGAAGGCAAGAAGCTTGGCTGCCTGAAGAATATAAGGAAGTGAGTGTGGATGGAGGCCTGTGAGTCGCCAGCAGAAAGGCAGGAGATGGGGCAGGAGAAGAGACGGGGCAGATCACGCAGAACCTGGTGGGGATCTGAGTTCTGATCTACCTCCCAGCAGTTCACAGCAGGATCGGATGAGAAATGCACACACAGTGCCTGGCGCCGGCAAACCACCCAGCCAGGGGGGCCAGGCGGTAAGGCCATGAGGCCTCGCAGGGACCTGCCACCCCCAGTTCAGAGCCCCCCACACGATGTCCAACCACCAGCACGTGCATCTCTTTGCGAGAGGCTCTTTCTGGCCCCCAGATGCTCTGCTCCCACTCAGGGCAGGTGGGATAACTCAGACTTAGGCCTACCTGCCTCCCACGTTCCCCCCTGGCAACCAGCTCCGTAACTGCATCCTTAGCTGACTTCCTTCCCTCTCGCTTCCCTCCCCACCTGGGTTTTCTGGGGTCACCTCCCCAGTCAGCCGGTTACACTGGGAATGTTCTGGGGGAGCCGACCTAACATGGAGACCCCGGGCCCAGCTGTCGCTCACGCACCTGCATACCAGTGATGGAGACGTGGCGGGACTCCACGGTGGGCCGCCGGGGCAGCCGCGGCGAGGAC